GGCAATCCACTCACCTCAGCCTCCCAAGGCGCGGGATTACAGACTGAGCCACCGAGCCTGGCTAACTTCATTTCTTAATAAACGTATACACCTAATAAGCATATGCAGTCATTGTTACATTTACATATTTATTTATTTATTGAGTTGGGGCTCACTCTATTGCCCAGGCTGGAGTACAGTGGTACAATCTCAGCTTACTGCAGCCTTGACCTCTCGGGCTCAGGCGATCTTTTCACCTTAGCCTCCAGGGTAGCTGGGACTCCAGGCATGCACCACCATGCCTGGCTAATGGTTTTGATTTTTTGTAGCAACAAGGTCTGGCTCTGTTGCCCAGGCTGATCTTGAACTCCTGAGCTCAAGCAATCGTCCCGCCTTGGCCTCCCAAAGTGCTGGGATTACAAATGTGAGCCACTGTGCCTGGCTTTACATTTATAATTATAGGCACTTAAAAAATTGTCTCTCTCGTACCATTCACACATCCCTCACCTCCATCTTCTCATCTTACTAGCATTAATAAATCAATAAGCAATATTTATATTACCATCACTCTAAAAGTTATTACATTTTAAAAATTAAAAAGGGAGGTGCAAATTTTGACTTAATCATTTATTTTTTAGGGCAAAGTGTACATCTAATTTTTATTTGTACCTCTAACTGGTTGACTGGAAAATATATGACTCTAAGCCTATCACAAATGGAACAGATTTTACTATGAGAAAATTATTTCCTCATCCATGGCCTAAACTGTCTTTTTCCTATTCATAGTTGTGAAGAAAGATCATTTGAAGGAAGGGATACTCGAATTCACAAGGGAAATCTGTTCATAAATCTATTGGTGGTAAACTGCATAGCTAAGTGTAAATGAACCATCTCAGCTCCTCCGTGGCACAAAAAATACCAAATTGAATCAACTCAGGAATTGACCATCATCCAACTTCTGGTTCTGTGATCATAAAAGGCAGAATGTCAAAAAAAAAAAAAATAATCAAAAAAAAAAATAATAAAAGGCAGAATGTCTTATTAGCTTTCCAATACTGCAGTAGAATGAAGAACACAGACTCATTTATGTAAAAGTATACACTGAAAAATAATAACAGATTTTTCACTTATCCAGAATTAAAAAAACCCAAATTCTAAAACAGGAAATCCCTCTCCTATGTTCCCTAATCAAGTTTACATTATATTTCAATTCACTGAAAACGGTCATTGCTGTGGTGACCACTGCAAATTAAATGGCCAGCAATTCAGTTAACTAGAACTCCACCTTCCGTTTTTCATGTATTTGTATAAACACGATTATTCTGTACAAATGTCACAGAAATGTAAAAGTCTGATACTCACACTTGGCATACAGACAGTCCATCATTGACTGCACTAAGTCCAGTTTGGCTTTAATGGAAAAGTTGATAAAGTTGGTATCAACAAGGATGTGGTAAGGTGGACCCAACTGTGTATTATACTGGAAGAATAAGCAGGAAGGGTGTTGGGGGCTGAAGGGAAAAAAAAGGAACACAAATTACACAGATACTTTGGTATCAACAAAAACAAAAAAAGAAGTCTCTCCTTGGGATGATTTACTATAGATTAAACTGTTTTCCCCTGGTTCATTGGAAATAAATTCCATAAAAGAAGGCAAGGCAGAAGGTAACATATCCTAATCTCAAGTCCATTAGCATTCTTCACTGCCAACAATAAAAAAAGCAATTATCCAACTCAGCTCTTCTCTAGCAGGTGTAGAAACAATACCCATGGGCACAGGGAGGTAGAATACAGGCATCATGATTAGAGTGCTACTACAGCAAGTTGGCCATTTTCATGGGATCCTAGTTGTTGTATGGAATGTGATACAGCAGAAAAGTTTGTCCAGTGTCAAGAATAAATACTACAGTAGGGCCTGTAGCTCATCGAAGAGCCTAAGGCTTCTGGGTTGAATATGACAGTGATTCTGAATACTAGACTATGGACTAGTATCCACCTGTGATGATATAGCCATTACTAACCCAGGGCAAAATGAGAAAAATACGGGAAATTTAGTGATGCTTTCATAAAGTTAAATGTTTTTATTTTTTTTAAAATGATCTTTATTCTGAACATATATCCTTACTATTTTTTTGGTGATATAGTATCTTTTTAATAAAATGCTAGTGTGTTAAACAACAGCAATTATTTCTTTTAAAAGATACTTGGTGTAAAAAAATTCAATAACCCTACATTGTATCTCCAAAATTTTGGGGAAACTCTCACCGCTTTGTGAAATTAAAAAAAAATAAAAAATCCTTCAAACCATTGGAATTGGTATATGTTCATCTCTAAGATTACTTTCATTTGCATAGTTGTTCCAGATTTTTTTTTTTTAGTTGGAGTCTTACTCTGTCACCCAGACTGGAGTGCAGGGGCTGCTCCCGGCCACCGCAGCCTCGACCTGCTGGGCTCTGGCGGTCCTTCCGCCTCAGCCTTCCAAGTAGCTGGAACTACAGGCGCGCACTACCACACCAGGCTAATTTTTGATATATTGTATAGATGAGGTCTTGCCAAGTTGCCCAGGTGGGTCTCGAACTCACGGGCTCAGGCAATCCACTCACCTTGGCCTCCCAAAGCGCGGGATTACAGGCTGAGCCACTGAGTCTGGCTTGTTCCAGATTTACTAACAAATGATTGAGCAAACCAGCTCAGGGAAAGCCTAGATTTCTAAAAGGTCTAAGCTTTCAGAATGTCTTTTCTAGTTTTAAAATAAAGAAGTTTTTGATTACTTACACTTCTCTTTCCTTTAGTGTGCTGGGATCTTTCTTTTCTTTCTTTTTAGGCTTTAATCTATCCTTTTCTTTACTAGGAAAGAAAAGTACGTTAAATCCAAGGGAGAGGGAAAAAACACAGCAGTTATAATCTCATTCAAAAATTCAAAGTTCCTTTTTTTTTTTTTTGTCTACGGAGGAAATCCTACTTCGTAAATTCTTTATGCTAATATCAGCACACACTTTTTGAGGAAATAACTGTAGTAGGAAGTAGTCTGAAAGTATCATAATTAATTAGTAATGTCAATAATGCATAAAAATTGTTAATGGGTAAATAGAAGTTGATTATAGTATCATTTCTTTCTGAGAATCTCTCATACCAAGGATCAAAATTCACTTCCAAGCAGTGGGCAAATAGTCTAATTGTTATCTTCTAAAGACCCAGATCCTTTTGCAGTAGAGGGAAAAGAAGGCTGCTCCTTGTGAAAACACTTATACACAACGTAGTCCCTAACTAGAAAGAAAATGTTATTAATGGGATGTCATTCCTAAAAGTTATAAAATACATCCACAATAAAGGCTGTGAAGAATTAATTCTGAAGCTCTAATGACCATTCTCTTGTTCTTAAATCCTTAAACATAGAGGATCAGTCTGTATTCATTTATTTTATTTATTTATTTTGAGTTAAGAGTCTCACTCTGTCAACCAGGCTGGAGGGCAGTAGCACACTCCCGGTCACTGCAGCCTTGACCTGCTGGGCTCAGCCTTCCAAGTAGCTGGAACTACAGACATGCACCACCATGCCCAGCTAATGTTTTGATTTATTGTAGAGAAGAGATCTTGCCAAGTTGCCCAGGTTGGTCTCGAACCTGCGGGCTCAGGCAATCCTCTCACCTGGGCCTCCCAAAGTGCTGGGATTATAGGTGTGAGCCACTGCACCCAATTAGTCCTTATTTAGTAGCTATGTCTATTATTCACTGAAGTGGGGAAGCTCTTTAAAGTCTCTTTATAATAGGGAATATCACTCCACTTTCTTCTTCCACAGTGATGTGGACTCCCACAAGATTCATAAAATGAAGCTATCTGGGAGTTTTCTCATTATCTCTTTCAAAAACATTTGAGTGGCATGCACTGGAGAAAAGACAAAAAGGGTCTCTGCCCCCAGCATCTTTAAACAACAACAAACTTTTTCCTGGGGAATGTAGCAGTAAGAACAGAAGGGTAATCATCCCTACCTCACAGAACTGCCATGAGGTTTAAATGCACTATGGTAGACAAAGCATATAATAACGATGGAAAAAGTGAACACTTATCCCCATGGCTTTTGCCAGCATAATCGCTCAGCAGCTAAACGACTGTCACACACTAAACTACCATACCATGCTACATAAACCCGAGACGAAACAATATTTTTTATGTTTTATTTTTTGAGTTGGAGTCTCACCCTGCTGGGCTCCAGCGATCCTTCCGCCTCAGCCTTCCAAGTAGCTGGAACTACAGGCGCGCGCTACCACGCCCGGCTGATTTTTTGATTTATTGTAGAGATGAGGTCTCGCTGCCCAGGCGGGTCTCGAACCCCGCGGGCTCAGGCAATCCACTCACCTCGGCCTCCCAAAGTGCTGGGATTACAGGCTGAGCCACCGAGCCCGGCTTGAGACGAAACAATATTGTAAATAGAAACAAAATAGCAACAAAACGTTTACTAGGTGTCCCCTCACGAGTATGACTGTATTTCTGGACAGTTTAAGAAGCCAGTTGACTCCGGACACTCACAGTCTCTGGTCTCTGAGACTAAGCATTCGCTTCATGGTCGCATACTTCCGCGTTTTCTTTTGTTTCCCCTTGAAACATAAATTTTAGAGTTAAAAAAGTTGGAAGCATATTGCATCTTTTTACGTCTTTTCGTTTCTCTTCCCTTCTTCCCTCAAAATATCCAGCCCCTCTCCCCCTCCCTAAATGCGCGGCTCGGGGAAGTTAAAGAGCTAAGGCCAGAATAAGCATAAACAGGGGAATGTAGGGGACATTTGCCCACGGGCTGCCTTCCCCCGTCCCCGCCAAGAAGATGGTCCGACCACGTCCCTCAGCGGACGCTCCTCTCACCATGCTCCCTCCGCACTCGGTTTCTTCCGGAATCACCAACGGCGCGGCACTTTTACGTCATCCAGCGCCTCTTCCGGCAAAGGCTCGTCCGGAAGCGGATGCCACTGTGGGAACCCGAACAGCCTGGAGCCGGGTTCCAGGCCGGGTGGAGCCTGACACCGGGTGTCTCGTGGAGGTGAGACCGGTGTCCTGCCGGGTGTCGCCGCCGCCTCCCGAGACAGCAGGACTGGGCCTTCGCCGCCCTGCAGCCCAGCGACCCCGATTCGGGTAACATTTCTCTCCAGCCCAGGCAGAGCCGGGAGACCTGCCTGCTCCTGAGTCCAGGGAGTGGGAGGAGGGAGTGGGGGTGGGGGCGGGCACCCAGGCTGCCAGTACTGTTGGGAGCATTTTCTCCTCATCCAGCAGCGCTGGGGTCCGGTCTCCGCCGTCTGGCCCGAGGCTCTGGCTCTCCAGCGGTTTTTTGCAGGTGTAGACCGTGTGTTCATCTCGGAGAAGAGAGGGGTGGGACGCTTGAGGGCCTCCTTAGACCATCGCTAGAAAACAGGGGCAAAGCTTGCATGCGTTGCTACTTACCAAGCCAGGAAAACAGTGGGAAACAACAGACATTCATTGTTAAGCTTCGGTGTGTCGTCCTTAGGGAAAAAGGGAGAATTTGTAAGAACAGGAGGGAAAGATAGCTTCCATTTCTTTGAGTATCTGCTGTGGACTGCAGAGATTCTTAACTTTCTGAAGATCACCTCTTGAAAGTGTGTGGAAAGCCAGGAACAACGCTTTAAAAAATGGGCTCACGCATCCAATTTGTCATACAATTTATGAGACTCCTGGACTCTGAAGCCCATCCGTGTTACCCTCTAGATGTCTTTAAAGCTTCAGGTTAAGAACTCTCCTGTCTGCTGCACTTGATTGGCACTTTATTCACGTTACTTTCTTTGACCATTCCAATAACTTAAGTACTCTCATTTTTCATATAGGAAAGCTGAGGCCCAGACTTTGTTCAGGGATCTGTTGAATCCCAAAGCTTGTGCTTATTGCATGATGTTATCCTAGTGTTGGGAAGCCACAAAGTTTTTATTGTGTTTAAAAAAAAAAAGTGACCATGTATAACCCTAACTATGAAACATGTATTGATTAACATGAACTTTGGAGTCTGACTGATGGGGTCGCCTGCTCTACCTCGTACTAGCTGTGTGACACTGGGCAAGATAGTCTGTGCCTCAGTTTCTTCATCTATAAAATGGAGTTAATCATAATAGTACCTGTTTAAGGGTGATGTTATCAGGACTTATGTTGTCTATTCATAGTTAAAACGTGAAATCCCCAGAAGAGTGTAAACCACACTACCACAGAGTGTTTTCTAATATCTTTGCATGCCTTCCAATTTAAGAGTATGTGGGAGAACTGTAATTTTATGCAATTATGTTTTAATATAGTTGCACTGGAACTTGAATGTGTTCATAAACTTCAAAAACGTTATTAAGTTTTTAGATCTTGAGCAGACCAATTGCAGAGTGATTTCTTGTGTTGATTTGGGTGTAGACATAGTGTTTCCCTACTTCCATCTATTTTAGGCTTGGATGCATTAGATAGCTTTGTAGTTCACATATCTGTAGTCTCTCAATTTTTGATGTTGAAATTGTTTTGCTGTTGAAGTATCTACAGATACTGTGTGTGCCTCCTGCTTTACCCTATTTGAGGTCACTAGATGTTTTCAATCTTTTTGAGAAAGATTGTCTCTGCCAAGTTGTCATTCATGGGTGATACTAACAGTGACCACTTTTTTGATGCGCATCCTGGTGATTAGGCAGTAAGCTTTAAAATAAACATGGTCAGTTATTCTTCTTAAACATTTGAAGACTGATTAGTATTATATGTAGGTTCAGAGGGAAAATTGCATATGATTAAACGGTAATTTGCATTTAAATTCAGGCACTGACAGAAAAACACTCTTCTGGTAATTTGTACCTTGAAATTTGGAATCAATGAACAATAACACTTTTTTTAAAAAAGCAGTTTGTAATTTCTGTTCTGAGAATTTTCTGCTTTCCTTGATTGTTAATAGTTGATAGGAGCTAAATTAGTGTAGGAGCACCATGGGGGATGAGAACATACTTAGAAAAGTATGTTTTTGTTACATTGTAAATTTATCACAAACTAAGATTCTTATAGCCTGACATTACTCAGCTACTCTATAGCATTCTTGGATGGGGATGGGAAGTGGGGCGGTGGTGTTGATTTGAGAAGCATAACGTAATTGCTTTTGGACACATACTTGTGAGGAAAAGAAATGATTTTAGTCCTTCTCAGCAGTCAAGGAAGTTGTTTTGTATTTTTCTTCAGTCTTGAAGAGAAACAAAATTGCTTGAGGCATTGGACCTGCAGTTTGAACATGTAATTGGGCTTGAACTTCATTCCATTCACTAATTGGTCTAACTTACTCATTTAAGCTGGTAACAAATTTCTTTGTAAAATTATCATGGATAGTGAAAGACTCCTTAAAGAACATCTTGTATTTTAATGTTAGAAAGTATAGGTAGATAGGTAGATTCAATTTTGTGGCCATGAAGGGGAAAAAAATTAATTTAGAAATATTTTCTCCATTTTTTTTTTTTTTTTGAGTTGGAGTCTCACTCTGTCACCCAGACTGGAGTGCAGTGGCCACTTCCGTCCACCGCAGCCTTGACCTGCTGGACTCCTGTGATCCTTCCGCCTTAGCCTTCCGAGTAGCCGGAATTACAGGCATGCACTACCACGCCGGGCCGATTTTTTGATTTATTGTAGAGATGAGGTCTCGCTGCCCAGGCGGGTCTCGAACCCGCGGGCTCAGGCAATCCACTCACCTCAGCCTCCCAAAGACGCGGGATTACAGGCTGAGCCACCGAGTCTGGCTTATTTTCTCCATTTTTAAGTTACAGTTTTTACATGTATTTTTATGCCTTATGACATTGTTTCCAGCAAACATTAGTTGCTGCTAATATTTTCCAGTTAACTTGGTTGCCTTCTGAATGTGGTAGCATGGTATATAGCATGGTCTGCTCCCTGGGGTTCAATTCTGAGTTAAGTTTGTAAGGATACCTCAGAGGTGGAGGCTGCTTCATGTTTGTTCATTCAGAAAGCATTGGTTGGTGGCCCATTTTGTCCTAGGCAATGTGCTGGCTATTTTTCAAGGCCACAGTTCTGTATTGGAGAAAGACTTGGGAACAGATAAATGGTGGTTGGTGGTTAAATCAAGTATGTGAGTTGAAATACCTATTATAAGCTGTGCTCTGTGGCTCAGCCTGTAATCCTACGCTTTGGGAGGCTGAGGTGAGTGAATTGCCTGAGCCCGTGGGTTCGAGACCCGCCTGGGCAACTTTGTGAGACCTCATCTCCACAATAAATCAAAAATTAGCTGGGAGTGGTAGTGCGCGCCTGTAGTTCCAGCTACTTGGAAGGCTGAGGCGGAAGGATCGCCAGAGCCCAGCAGGTGGAGGCTGCGGTGGCCGGGAGCGGCTACTGCACTCCAGTCTGGGTGACAGAGTGAGACTCCAACTCAAAAAAAAAAAAAAAAAAAGGAAATACCTATTTTAGAGGAATTACTCCACCTGTTGGTGTTTCTAGACGTGGTCTAGGTCAAAATACTGTTGTGTAATATTTGTTTGATACTATTAACATAGCATGTAACAGATCAGATTGTCTGACCTTAATGCATTCAAGCATATAAGAGGGGACCCAAAAAAACCCTGAATTATCTTTTTTTGAGGGCGGGCCTCTTATAGTACACTCAGAATTTGTTCCTTTTTTTTGAGGGCGGGCCTCTTATAGTACACTCAGAATTTGTTCCTCCAGATCAAGCGGTCAACCAAAGTTCTTATCTGGAAGTTTTGAGAAGATTGCATCATGATTTACCGAAGAAGAAATGACCCAAGCTGTGGCGAACAGATAACTGTTCTTCCACCCTGACAGTGCACCTGCCCACACTGTGCTGAGCGTTCAGCAGTTTTTGACCAAAAATGGCATGGCCCCCATGCCCCACCCTTCCCTATTCACACGATCTCACCTGAGAGACTTGTTTTTGTTGCCCTAGATGAAAAAAATCCTCAAAGGGAAACTTTTTACTAACATGGAAGAGGTGAAGCAAAAAAATGGCAGAAGCACTAAAAGGCATCAAAATTGTCAAGTTCAAAAAGTGTTTTGAGCATTGGAGGAAGAAGCATTTTGATAGGTATATTGCATCAAACAATATTTTGAAAGACTGAAGTTTAAACATGTAAGAATAAATAATTTTTAATTATTTTTAATAAATATTGTGATTTTGGGGTCCCCCCCCAAATAATTTTACCTTTTAAGTGGCTTTAAGCTTAGGTTTCGATTTTGGGTGTTTTTTTTTAATTTCTTTTCCTTCGAAGGATTCTGTTTAGCTTTCACTAATTTTTTTATGTAGTAGTTTTCAAACTTGAGGTTTTTAACCTTTTAGTGGTGTGTGTGGTGTGTGTGTGTGTGTGTGTGTGTGTGTGTATGCATGTATGCTTGCCTGAGCCCTTGGTATGGTGGTGTAGCACCATGATGATGTTTTCATGATGGGACTGTTGAAGACGAATCTACAGGATAGGATTTAATAGAGAGATGAATACTCATTTAGTTATTAGTAACTTAACAGTCATGTTAGATACGCATTTTGTCATTTGTCAGTTGAACTGTACCATATAATTTTATATGAATTTTTGTTGCCTTGAATAGTTGAAGAATCTGCATCATGCTTTCTAGAGCTTACTCAACATCTGTTAATTGTATTTTTTTAAATTTCTGGGTGAGCTACCTTCATTTTATTTATTTATTTATTTCAATAGTTTTATGGCTACAAACGGTTTTTGGTTACATGGATGTATAGTGGTGAAGTGGTCTGGGCTTTAAGTGTACCTATTAATCCCACTGGCGTACATTGCACCTAGTAGGTGATTTGTCATTCCCTCCCACCTTCCCCTTTTGAGTCTCCAGTGTCCATTATACCATTCTATATGCTTTGCAGACCCTTAGCTTAGCTCCCACTCATATGTGAGAACATGCATTATTTGTTTTTCCATTCCTGTGTTTACTTCACTTAGTATGGTGGTCTACAATTCCACACAAGTTACTGTAAAATGCATCATTCATTCTTTTTTTATGGCTGTGTAGTGTTCAATGGTATGTATATAAGTGTGTATACACACATATACACACACTACTTTTTTTTTCTTTTGTCTCCTTATGTTGACCAGACTGGTCGCAAATTCCTGGCCTCAAGCAATCCT